TAAAAAAAAGAACAACAAAACTAAGTTGAATAATATTTTTGTAGGGAACCCTTGCAAAAGTTAGTCATTCAAAAGAGTTTTCGTTAAACTGTTATCACAATCGTGAAAGTTTAGATCCTCAAAAGTTTCGAGCAAATAAAATAATAATGTATTACCTTGTGCTTTGAATTCTTCAATGACTTAGCTATAATAATAAAACAAATTATTATTATTATAACTCCACCCTCTCTCTGTTTGCTCTCTTACCAACAGCAAAGGTCCTACTGGCAAGGTCTGCCGTCCCCTCACAGATACGTAGGAGCTCACATTTCCTCGTTAATAAACGGAGGAGCCATTTGTATAGACGCCAGAAGTAGAGGGGAAAGAAAAGAGGCATCTTAATACAAGAACCCTGATAGTGATAATTAATTGATTAATTAGATCTAATTGAATGGGTGTGTCTACTTATTAGGTTAGGTTATTAACTTTTTACCCACGTGGTGTGTTGCTCTGCAAAAAATGGCTAAGGCAAAGTCAGTTTTAAGTTTTTCTCTCTCTTTTTGAGTCTTTTTTTTCTTGTAGAATCGTTGGAGGCTCTAAAGGAGTCAAGGGAAAATCAAAATTTAAGAAAGCGAGTGGTAGCAAGAAGCACCCTGGTGGAGGAAAGAAAAGTGTGAAAAAGAATATGACAAAAAGAGATAAGAAAAAGAAAGAGCTACAGAAGAACAAGGAGCCTGTGACATCTGGCAAAGAGAGGAACGAAAAGCGAAAGCTTCAAGACGATGACAAGTTTTCTGTAGCAAATAAAAAGTCAAAAAGTATTTTTATTTATTCATTTATTTGTTAAGTCTTTTTTCTGCTTTTTTAGTGACGGCTGGTAAAACCAATTTGACAAGGAAGGAACTTGATAAGAAGAAACTCTCTGTCAGACGTCAGCGAAAACTGCCAGCAGATTCACTTGAACGAATCAACAAAGCAAAACAAATATGGGAGCATGTTAGGAGGTGGGCGTGGTTGATCACTAATTATGTGGGTGTGGTCAATTTATTATCAATTGTTGTACAGGCATGACATGAAAAAGGAGGAAAGGGATAAATCTATTAACGATATGATGGGTCTGATCAGTGGTAATGTGTATGAGGTAATATGATGTCATTGTTAATAATCAACCATTAATAATTATTAATAGTTATCGTTGAAGCATGATACTGCTAGGATTATTCAGTGTATTTTGAAATTTGGAAGTCAAGAAATGAGAAACAAAGTTTATGATAAATTAAAAGGTAAATGCAGGCCTTTGTTGCATAACTTCACATACATTAATATGTATCAGAAAATGTAATAAAAATTGGGGGTGATTTTGAAGCTAATTTTGGGAAAAACCATGGGCTATAGCCTTGGGTATTTTTCAAAATTTTGGGATTTTC